AGGGCAGCCTGTCAGCATCATGTGCTTGGAAGAAACTGGTTAGCAAGTCCTGGTCTGCAGGTCTGGAGGGGAGCTGGAGGTCGGCAGAGGAGAGCCTGATGGATAGAGAGGTGGTAATGGAACTTGCTGTCTCCTGGGGTACAAGTGGGACAGCCCTGCCCTGACCCCATCCTGGGCGCAGGGCTAGATGCTGAGGCTATAAAAAATAATTTGTGACTTTAGGAAGTTTAAATTTTAGTGGAGGTCACCCACCTAGATAAATATAACTTAGTGATTCTCTCTGAGGAGTCAAGAAAAGAATTCTACAGAGGGATACCTAGGCCGAGTTCCGAAGGCGGAATAGGCCTTTGCCAAACAGAAGGGGCTGGGGAGTGGTGGGGAGGGCATGGACATGCCAGGCAGTAGGAGCCACACGTGCAAGGATACTGAGGTGTGACGCTGCATTGGGACACATATGAGCGAGGGTCTAGGAAATCATTCGGTATTTTAAACAAACTGTCTACACCAAAGACTAAGAGACTAAGAGTTCAAAAAGTACATTTGTTGTAAAACAAACAAACAAACAAACAAACAAAAAAACACCAGAAAGGAGAGGAAATACTTGCCCCAGGTGTGGGTTTGTTCTTCCTGTTGATGCCCATTGATGCCTTGCAGGACCTAGTTTGCCATTTTAGATCTAGGAGCAAGTAGCAGGACTTTGCCTTTAAATCCAAGGGGGTGCACATGGCGCAGCCCTTCCCTGACCACATCCCAAGGACTCTTGGGATGCCTTTGATAATGATTTCTAGTTTTATCTCTCCCTAGCAGCTGCTAAGGGTGCACCTGGGGTTGGAGGGGCTTTAAGGACACACGGTTTTTAAACTACATGTTGCTTCACTTGGTGACGCTCAAGTTTAGTGCCCTGGGACAAAGCCTTAGCTTCCTGGCCTCATTCTCGTGACTTTTTCGCACTGTCACCATGCAGGAAAGATATTGCACAGTTACCGAATCTACCCTGCAAAGCCTCTGAAGGGTAGCAAGAACCTGGACTGTCCGATTTACAATTTCAGAATCTAGTCGAACACCCGATACATGGTACGCAGGTGGTCAACAATGGGCTGAATCAGTCGAAGAGCTCCAGGACCCAGAGATCTTAGCTTAATGTATTCCCTCAACTTGTATGTGCATGAATTTATATTGGCTGTGTTTATTAGTACTGCTGAATATCTCCAACATTCGACTTGCTTTGTATGTTTTCAAGACATGTCTATATTAGTAGAATGTTTGTTGCATTGTTATTTTTAAGACAATAACCCTCGCGGTCTAGAACTGTGCTGTCAGGTACATGGCTAGTGAGTCTATATTGGACAGTAGAGGTCTGGAGCATTTCCAGAAGCAGGGAGGCCAGTTAGGTGGGCTTTGCATCTTTTTATGTGAGAAACGACAGCTTGAACTAAGTCAAGGACAGTGTTCTTGGAGAGGAAGAGTTCCAATAACTATTTAGGAGATAGAATCAACTTAATTTGGGCTGAGGTGAGGGAAGAGGTAAGGTTGATGTTGGAATTCGATCAGAGAAGCAGAACAAGTGGGTTAGAACCAAGTAGGTAGGTATCTGAGTGTGTATGTAAAAAGGGATTTATTACAGGGAGCTGGCTTCTGCAGCTGAGGACTGGCAAGGCTATTCAAGACACAGGCACCCCCCCTCCCATTTCATCCCCCACTGCCCCGGTTCAAGTTGAGGCAAGCACTTGGCTTCCATGCAGAATACTTGCCTGCTGCACTATGGAGCTGGCCCTGCTTTGTGTTTCTATTTTTGTGTTTGTGTTTTTGTGCATATATGAAGGGAACTTCAAAAGTTAATGGCAAGGGACCAGCAGTTAGCGTAATGGCTATGTCGCTGGACTCCCACGTAGTCGACCGCGGTTCGAGTCCCGGACCCGGTGGCTTAAACTCACGCCGGGCGCGTGTGCGTGCGTGCCCAAGATCCCGAGAGGAGAATGGAGGAGAAGGGATTGCGGCGTGGCCATCCCCCCTGGAGGGTGATTTCCTGCTTTCTATCTCTCTGTCTCTCTCTGTCTGTCTGGCGAGCGCACGTGCCCTATAGCAAAAAAAAACCTCTCAAAAAAAAAAAAAGTTAATGGCAAAATCAATGTATAGGTTTATCTCGGTGCAAGAAAAGAAAAACAAAAAAATGCAATCCATGCATGGTTTTTGCACAATGTACATTTTCTATGAACTGTCTGAAGACCCAGTGCACATGTGTGCACGTATAATTGCTCCATTTCGACAATTTTT